GGGGGGGGGGGATTGGTTGATTTGCTTTTACAAATCCATGCCATGAAGGTTCAAATTCTCTCGCTGTCCGTTCATGTCCAACTGTCCATAGGTCTCCCTACCCCAGCCTTTTAGCCAAACAGTCCTGGGTTATGCAGTGTCAGGGACTGCAGCAGGTGCTGGAAGTCCTCCACAGTCCACGGCTCTACGCCAGGTCCCACAGCCGCAGGACTGCTACTACTGTCGGGGCAGATGCTTTGCGGGTCGTTGAACGTCACCAGTACGTCGGTGCCGAACTGAGGCAGGCGAAACACGCCGAGGTGAAGCCTCACCCGGTTCCTCGCCGTCTCGTTGTACTTGGACACGTATTGGGTGCCCGTCAGCGCCCAGGCGGAGCTGCACGCCGACAGGGACACTGACGACTTGGGCAAGGCGACCACCTCCGTCACCTCCTGCGCGCCAGGCTGAGTGGCGGCGTTGTTACCCGCGATGTCCTCAAAGTGGTACCGGGCCGCGTCCTGGTCAGCCACGTGGTCTTGGTACTCGACCAGTTCCACGATGAGACTTTGATCGGTTCGGGTATGGACGAACGCCTCCTGGTTGTCTGGAATCTCCCGCATCTTGCTCACGTCCGCGGCGCCGTGAGGGAGGATGGCCGACAAGGCGCCTCCGAACAGCGGATGAGGTTCGTTGACGCGCTGCATGTCAACAGCAGATTTTCACAACGGACAGTGTCGTTGCTTTATCTGCAAATGAACAGACTTGAGGTAACATTGGTCACAAAAACGTGACGAATGTGTAGCGTTGCCGTACTACAAACGTATTTCCGGGTGTTGTTTCTTCTTTGTATTATGGAATTTAATAAACTCATTGCTGCCACCTACAGGCGACTGAAAATGTTTCCTCTATATTAATGGCAGCAGAGCGTATTCTATTACAGAACCATTCACGTATTTATGACCGTCTGCTTCTTTCTTTTCTGCCATTTACAGAAAATCTAGCGCGCTTGTCCTAAGGACTAAATTCATGAAAATAAACCAGTGTTTTCCCTTTGTTAATGTAATATGGAAATACTCCTGTATATTA